CTGTGGCCTTCCAGAAGTTGTATTACAGCTCTGGTCTTCCTAGGCCATTGACCATGCTGGTTGAAGCGGATGGGAGTTGTAGTCCAACAACATCTGGAGGGCCACGAGTTTCCCCATCCGTGGGCTAAAGACACACACACAAAACTCACACAGCTAAACTGGTCCTGAAAAATAGCTCACAAGGACCTCATATTTTGGCAGGAGCAAAATCTGGACGAGATCCTAATGCTTTCAAAACAAAGGAACTGTAGGAAATGGAGTTTGACTTACATAAGAAGAAGACCCGTCTCAGGGGCTGATTTGCTGCTTGGAAGCTGTTGAGCGCTGAATGCACAACTATTGAATGGTCCAGAGTGTCCTATCCTGTCAAAGCCTGGGATGAGTGCCTTTGACATTGCCTGGAGGTTTGACAGATATATGTCGCTAATTGTCTTGGCTCTGTTTGAAGACCAAGAGAACCCTTTTTGGCTCAGCCAGTGATAAGGCACAAGGCAGCATTCTCCCTTTCAAAGAATGCAGCGTGCAGGAAAAGATGCCAGAGTCTTCCCAGGAGATAGACGGTTTGAGGTTGGCTTTTAATTTATTTGTTCATGTCTCATGCAAACTGCAAAAAATGAGATTGAGAGAGAGAGAAAAAAGTTTTCCGAAGTTTCTGGGTTCTTTCAATGTCAAACAAGTTCCCAGCTGACAACCTCACCATTTACAATCTTAAAAACTGCTTTTCTGTATGTTTAGAAAGATTCTCTGTTCAAAGTTCTTTTCCACCAGCTCCTGCTACTCTCAGCCAAATGAACTTCCTTCTTGCATGGAAAGAAGGCTACTGTTGATTCTTCACACTTTTATTTATTTTTTTCCAGCAGAATACAAAAGGGCGCTTGCAGACTGAAGGTTGTGATGGTGGGTTGTTGTGGTGTTGCTGTTTGTATTTTCTTCTCACAAGTAGGTCAGAGAACCCGAAGAACAGGAATAAGTAAAGTTAGAAATCTAGGATATAAATTAGAGGTGGTGAACCTCAGGTCAAATGCAACTCCCCCCCCAGCCCGCCATGCTCCTCACTGGCTCTGCTTTGTGCAACCTCTGTTAGTTTTACCTGGCTGGAATGTGACCTGAACTTGATGGATTAATATGTCAATTTCGGTTTTTCTAAGTTTCTCCCTTTTCCAGTCTTATGTTCAGTTCCTCACAATTCCACACCAGTTTGTTTGTCAACATAATCACCATCCTTAAAATCCACCAGATATTAGTATGAATATCTCATTACAGTTTGTACTTTCACCTAATATACACATTCATGGAAAGTAATTTCCCCTAAAATAATGTGTTTTGAAATGTTATTTTTACTAACATATACATTTTTATGCATACTTTATCTCAGCATATGTTATTGTAGACCTCACTGCAAAATTCATAGTACAGATTTGTGAAGAATGGCTGTGTTTCCATTCCAGTATTGTTTCAGAATGTGCAAATTAGGTAGGTTCACCTTTTGATGCAAACTGAATTGAATTTCTCCCCCATCCCTACTTTGTGTCTGCTCAGTGGGTTTTACCTAGCCTGAATGTGTCCCTGAATTGAAATAACTACTCCTGCTTGTTTGTTTGCTTGCTTGGATGAAGGATGGAGAGCTGTGAGTGCCTGGCCACACCCACCAATGATATGGCAGCTGCTGTCACTGTATTCTTTTAAGTGCCTGGTAAAAACATTTTTGTTTAGGCAAGCCTGTCCAGACATGTAGAATGTTGGCATGTGTTTTAATCTGGTTTTTAGCTGATTGTTGATTTTAATTATTTGTTGAGGTTTTGAAATAGTCATTTTTAACTTTTCTAACCAATAATTTTATTGCTTTATTCTTTCTGCAAACTGCTCGGAGGTGTTTTCTTTTAACAGTCAAGCTTTATGTACATTCTAAGAAATCAAATATGAAGTATACAGTCCCTAGAAGGTTGCCTGTGAGGGAATGTGTATCTTGGGTTCCCTACACTTCTTCTATATTCCTAGATGCATCTGGGAAGCCTATGGGCAGGGCATGAGAAAAATGCATTTCCACCATTCACGATCCTAAGACATACTGTCTCTGACCCTGGAACTCCTTAGATGTGTAGCGGTGGTTGATCTTGTCACTTCCCTGTGTGCGTTGCATGTTTAGAAAAATGTTATTCTTGCAATCCTCGAGTCACCTTGCGCAAACAGGATTCGGCTCATGCTTTCCTTCCTGTTGCTTTTCTCTTTTAAGGCACTCCTTTTTGAATATTGTTCACCCTGTCAAAACAGATTATTTCATTATTCTGTTTGTTTTACGGTACTTCTCTGAACCAAGGTTCCAAAAACAAACTTGTGCTCATAGGAACATAGGAAGCTGCCTTATACTAGGCGATTGATCCATCTAAGCCAGTACTGCCAAACACTGACAGGCAGCAGCTCTCATGGGATTCAAATGGGAGTGTTTCCCAGGCCTTTCTGGAGACATCAGGTATCAAATCTGGGGTGTTTTGCACGCAGAGCAAATGCTGAGTGCCAGCTGTTCTTCAAGAAGCTGATAAATATGGCTTGATCTTCATTTTCCATTGCTTGTGAAAGACATCCAAAGCCTAGGACATATTCTGCTGTACAGATTACAGTGAAGGTGGCATTTCCTGCTTCTTTTCAGATGGAACTTCCAAGGACAGTGCCCCTTTTTAAAAAGAGAAGGACTTGGGAACATGTGCAAAGAATAGCAGCCATTGTCTGTAATCTACCACTGACACAGATTCTTCCTTGCGTCGGTGTCATATTCCTGCAGTTCTAGAATTGGAGTGGAACCAGTTTACGGAACTGCTCTAGTCTGAATCAGCCATCTTAATCTAACTTTTGCAGGTTTGTTCTGGCATCTTGGAATGCCTTTGACACATTCATCTTTGTTTCTTCCAGCAAGGTAGGACGAAGGATTTCGTTACAATTCTGTGTTGGTGATAAAATCTCTTTGCTCAAGGAATGTACTCCTTTGATTGCAGGAAGTGAGGTTTCTCAGGTTTAAAGGTCTGGAGAACTGAAACGTCATTTTGTTAGGGTGGCCCAACTGCATTTTTTAAAAATCAAGTATTTAAATATCAGTTTTATTTTCTTACATGCATGGCATTAGAACCAATTGTATGATCTGATTCTCATTTCCTCCCGATAGGACCCCAACTTACATTGCTGAAAATAAAATCCTGGGAATGCAATCATCTGTGTCTGATGTATGAAGGCCAATATCATTAGAATCTTTACAGCCACTTCTAGTCGTTATTCTTCATTATATGCAAGTTAATATACATTTGGAATTTTTGTTAAGTCTTGCATGCCATGCAATGTCCGACCGAGGACCTGCTCACAGGTATGCCCTCCCAACATCTTGCTGGCACTCCTCACCCAACTGCATCTTTCACTTGAAACAATTGTCACACTTTGCCTAATTGTAGGGCTGGTCCTGCACAAGTGCATATGTCACTGGCTTTTATTTTTCCTCATCTTTAATTACCCAGCGCATTCTGAAGTGCTATCATTCATGCAGGAGAGGAGAAATAAAGCCCAAAGTTGGTATCACCAGCAAAGGTCCATTCTCCGTACCTGTTGCAGCAATACATTTGGTCCTGACTATTTTATAGCCATTTCCCGTTAAACAAAAACAGATCGTAAAGATATTTGCAAAAGTTTCGCATTTTCAGCACTGCTGCGTATTTCCCCTAATCCCCCCACCACACTTCTGTTTTTGATAGTTGGGAAGTGAAATTGATAATGCTCCAACACGGTATTCCCCAGACTTTTATTCTAGACTGTGGTAACTATTGTAGGACAAAAATGGGAACCGCCGTACAGCTTGCCATACCTCTCTGGTGCAACTAGAAATCCCCCTGGTCTTTAATCCAAGGCAACTGTGTTGACTTGGGTTCCTCTTTACCCAATTTCTGCCCTCTGTTAGAAAATACAGTAAACGTTCCAGCTTTTGTTCCAGCTTTTTGGTTTCAAGTGAGAATATTGTAAGGCCTTGAGGACAATATTCTAACCTTTACAAATACATCTTCAAAGAAAACCCTCATCCAACAAAAATAATAGTAATTTTTTTCCAGATTGTGAAATAACGGACACTTCATATTTTGTGTGTGTGTATGTTTAATTTTAATTGTATTTTACCCCTTTATTCTTGTATGTCATCTAATTATGTTTTTAATTATGTTTTAACTGTTCAATATGTCTTAACTGTTTTTAATTCTGAATTTTAAATGGCTGGTAACCCCGTCCTTGCTGGTGAAGGGCGGGCAACAAATTTAGTAATAATGATAATAATATATAAAAAAGAAAACTTGGGAAATAACTGTACGGCGGAAAATGCTGACAGCATTAAGACAAATTCAACAGTGTAAATAAGTTATGATGGATGTATTAATGGAATACTGAATGGTATAGTTTCTGTAAAATATGCAGGGTTTTATGATATGTAAAATGAACCATGGAAAGAGAAGAATGGAACTCACTGATATCTTAAGCATGTAAGAATGAGTACTGTAAATTGCAAAACAGAAAATTTAATAAACACACACACACACATATATATGTATAACAACAACAACAACAACAACAACAATAATAATAAACACACACATATTCTTAAAGGCACTACAAAATTCTTGTTGCTGATTGGTTTTCTTTTGTCGGAATTCGCCTCATAATGAACGCTTCCCTCAGTGTCGCTGCGAAAGAAGGAGCCATCCCCTCAAGGCGTTGGGACGCGAGGAGAAGGAAAAAGGAACTTTTTATTTTAATTTCATTTTAGTCCGCGTGGAGAGGCGATAGTGGCCAGCTCCCTTCAGCCCTGAGCCGAGAACCAACACCGCCGCCACCACCTGCCTCGGGAAGAAGACGACGAGACGCGCCCCCGACCCGCCTCCCACCGTTTCCCCCTCAGGAGGAGCGTCGAGGCAGGAGGCCGCCCTCGCTCGCGCTCCTTCCCGCCCTCCATCGCTTCCCCCACCGGGCTCCTCCTTCCCCCGCCCCGCCCTTCGGTGTGTGGCCCCGGCCGCCATGTTGTTGTGGTTGTGAGGAGGGAGGCGGAGGCGCCGAGCTGCAGAGCCGAGGGGAAGGCGGCGGCAGAAGCAGCAGCGACGACGACGCCGAGGGGAAGCCGAGCGACCACCCCCCTCCGAGCCGCCGCCGCCGCCGCGCCCCGTTGGGGGGTGGGGAGGAGGGACCCCCGCCATGGCCGGCCGCTGCCACCGCCGCTGGGTAAGGAGGAGGAGGAGGAAGAGAGGCGGCCGAGGAAGAGCAGCAGTAGCAGCAGCCCGAATGGGAAGGGCGAAGGACCGCTGAGGAGCGGGGCCGGGGCCTGGCGTCTTATTCCTCAGGCAGCTGCGGCCTGGCGTATTCCGGAGTTGGGCCTTTTTCTCGGGCCGGAGGGGGGCGAGAGAGAGGAGGCACTTTCCACCCTTCTGGGGTCTTCGTGACCTCCCACCCACCATAAGGCTTCAGGGCCGCCGCTTCTCTGGGATTCCTGCTTCTCTTCCCACTGCAACCTTTGTTTGTTTGTTTAAAGTCTTGCTCTTGTCAAAGAGAAGAAGAGGCCGCTTTGCGTTCTGTGTCCTCCGTTGTTGTTGTTTGTTGCTGCAGGGTTTTTGCTGTTAGCGTTGCCCTCTGTTATCGCCGGTGTGTCAGGGTTGCCCTCCCTGGGTAATAAGAAGCGTTGGTAAATAATAACGGAGGGCAGGGCTAATAGGGATACTTAATAATGAATGGTGGTGGTAAATAAGTCGCCCTGCTGCTTGGTTTTTTAATATTAGAGTTGTTTAGAGCGCTGCTGCTTCTCACAGTCCTTTTTTTTGGGGGGGGGATAAGTGTGGAGGTAGCTGCTGGTGGTGGTCTTGGAACCTCTCAGTCTTACTACATCGTGTTATAGATAATATGTTTTATCCAGTGCTGCTCGGAATAAACCTACTGAGATTAATGGACCTAAATTAGTCGTGCCAATTTATTTCTATGAGTTTGCTTGGAGTTGGAGTTGACACTGGATACAACCTTAAGTGTGTGTGTGTGTGTGTGTGTGTGTACTATCTCATATGGGGATAACAGCCCTGTAAGGTAGGTCAGCGTTATTGTGAATGGGGGTGAGGCAGGTCATGGGACAGAATAACTGCTAGCCTAAGCCAAGGTGAAAACTGAATCTGGACTCTTCTGTCTTGCTTAGGAGCATGAAGCCTGCTCCTGTGCCTCTTTTTATTCTGGAGTAAAGTCCCACTGAATTCAGTAGGGCTTACCCCCATAAATAAGTGGGTAAATTTACTTGAAAGTAAGGCTTGCTGTATTCTGTGGGACGTAGTTTCAAGGAAGCGTACACGGGTCCCAAATTTTGGCCTCTTAACTCTTGCTCAACTGCATGGGACATTTGAGGAACATAAACATACGTGTAAGTAAATGCAAGGTGTACTTGGCTTCCCTTTGGCTGGGTGCACCCATGTTTTAGGCCTGAGACCAATTTGTGTGGCAGAAGATTGCGTTTGTTAACCCCCCCCCTTTTCCTCCCATATTGTGTGTGTCTCTTTTTCCCTTTTAACCCTAGATCCTCACCTTCCTGTATGTTGTCTTCCTGCCCCCAGTTTAATGTTATCATCAGCACACAGTCATCTTTGTTCTCCACAATAATTAATATCCAAAGTAACTCCCAATTTATGCTTCCATCCTTGCCATCACCATGCAGATTAGACCACACTGAAAAGGGTGTACAGAAAATCCACCCATTTGTGTCTCTGTAATCTGCTATGAGTATGATTTGGTGATTGAAGCAGTGCTGTAAATAACCACTTACCAGGTTACCTGTGGCAAGTGTAAATTGCCTCTGGAGACTAGCAAAGGAGCATGACAAAAGTTGGCTTTTAATATTGTGAAGACCACAAATGACTAGACACAAAGATGTGTGCCCTTACTGGGTTTGGGTTAACTTTTGTAGATTTTGATATGCAAGCTAAAGGGGTACTGGGGGAGCATTTAATCTCTTTTAAGTGATCTTGGGAATGTCCTCAGGTGAGACCTTTTAACTCTCACACCCCTTATAGTATGCATGTGTGTAATGGATAAGTTTCCATTCCTCCTCATGCTGCACAACTGTTTGCAAGGTTGCTGGTGCTACCCACTGCACGTTGGTGACTTTCGTATGAGATACGGTCAGTATTGTGTGTGGGATACCTGCATATGAAAATAATTAAGACCGTTGTGAGGAAGCCTGGGTTAATCACCTTCTTTCCCACCCCTGTATCCTTCACCTTTCCAAAGGACTACAACATCCCTTTATTGGTTCAGAGTTTGGCTCTGTATTCAGATATAGAGGTTTATCTTTCTACTCCCCTGATGTATTAAACTAGGTTTTACCTAAAGTGGATAGAGACATAGAACTGAGAACATGAACTTTTCTGTAGAAAGACTGGATTTTACCACTGCAGGGGTGTGACTAGAAAGTCAGAATGATGATTTCAGAATTATTGTTGTGTCATGGGACTCTGTTTTTACCTTTTCTGATGCAAGTTGTGTTGGAGACTATGTTCCATTTGTGGTGTTCTAGATATGGGGTGTGGTGTGCCATGCTGAGTTGGGTAGACACTGTTATGTGATTGCTTGCAGGTTTACAGGAGCTCGACTTGAGTTTGGTTCTGGACTTGAAGCAGTTCTTTCATCTTGAAAGTTGGCAGTGGTTGCTAATTTCAGGTTTTCTTGCATATAATATACTGTTGCTGGAATTTGTTGTTTTTGAAGGCCATTTCATTCTATACTTGTTACCATAAGCTTCACAATCTCTTCCAGATCTGTCTGTCTAGCTGTAAAGGAGGATTTTTTCCAAAATCATTCACCACCAGCACAATCCTAACCATGTCTACTCAGAAGGAAGTTCTATTGCATTCAGTGGGGCTTACTTCCAAGTAAGTGCAGCTAGGATTGCAGCCACAGATGTTTCTATATCTTTGCCTGGGAGCTAAAGGGATGGTGCTGGTGTTACCACAATGGTCTTGAGTGATTCAATTGTACGGTATTTCTAAGGCTGCAGTCTTATGCACACTGACCAGAGTGTTAGCCTAATTCAACAAAGTGACACTTCCAACTAAACAAGCATAGGATTGAGCTGCAGGCTTCAAGTTCAGTGCAAATCTGTCAGTTAACTAATGGACATCCCTTGGAAATTCAACTTCAGATCTAAGTGACCAGTGCCCTTTAAAAGCTGTATTGTGCTGAGAAAACATGTGGGATAGAGAAGGCCCGGCTTTCCCTCCCTTGTCCAGTGTCCACCATGAGTGGAATGTGTATGTGAGGATGGGGGGTTGCTTGCCCTGGGCTGCCAGGAAGGTATTGGATATATCCACTGTGTAGGTGCATACTATTTAAATGTCCAACATTGCTTCCACATTATCTTATCTCTACTACTTATTGTGACATGATGAATGGTCACTGCTGCTTCACTCCTCCTCCATCTGCTGCGTCATTAATCCAGAACTGGAATGTGTTCTATCAGTACTTTACATATGGATACATGGAGGGGTTTGAATATTTCAAAAGTGTAGGTGAAGTGGAACATTAGTGTGATGATAAGTACTGAGTGTTGTATGGAAAGATTTCTCAAAGTTCCATGTGACAGAGGGCAGGTAGATATAGGAACATTGCCAGGATTTGAAGGAGTAATGATATATGGCAACTCCCCTCCCTGTGCCTAATGCCCTCCACTTGTGGACTACAACTCTCATCATTCCCAGTCATTGACCATGCAGGTTGGGACTGATGGAAGTTAGGCTCCAAAAAAACTATCTGGAGGGAACAATTGGGGAATGTTAATACAGTATGTGGAATTTGAGAACTGCCTGGTGTGGAGTAGGCGCATAGCTTCAGGTGGTTGGGTATTGCTTGGTTAGTAGAAGACTGAAGAATGGAACTGCAGTCTGCTGTGTCATTTTGTGTGGCAGCAAGCAAAGCATCTCCTAATGCATATTGCCATGCTAAGCTGTGTCTTGAGACTGTAAACTGCAGAGGTGTTAAGGCAAGGGGGGGAGCCAAGATTAATGCAAAAGAGATACTTAATGTTCAAGGACAACATTGCAGGTGGTTGTTATGCATATGGGAATAAATAATCAAGTATGAGGAAAGAAGGCACTCCACCTTTGATACTTCAGGTAAATTTTGCAGCTTGTTAAAGAATGATTCTAGTTGCTTTTAAACTGCTTGCACTAGGTGTGTTTAATGGATTTGACTAAAGTTTTAAATCCTCAAAAATTATGTTACTAAGTTTTGGATTTTCCCAGAACATGGGAAGTTGCATTATGCAGAGTCTATTTCAGATGTGTTTCAAGGAGGAGTCTTTCCTAGTCCTAGTTGAAGATATTGGGGATTGAACCTGGGATCTTTCACATCCAAAGCATGTGCTCTCCTGCTGAGCTGTGGCCCTGAGTAAATCCCATGAAGATGCTTTGCAGCTCACTGGCTATAAAATAGCAAACACTGTTGTTACAGGAAAGATTTGCCACTTGGCTTTTTGTACCATGTTTAGGGCTTTAGGCAGGTTTTAGCAATATCTGTTGCTTGAGATGGCTAGTAGTAGTGGGTTTGTGCATACCTGAATCAGAACCTTGTTTATGGCACACAAAATTTATTTTCCAGAAAAATATCCTGTAGAAAACAAGAGCCATCTATTTTCACAAAAGTAAAACCAACCAACCAGCCAGCCAACCAACCAACCAACCAACCAACCAACCTGTATGCATAACTTGTACAAGCTGGCATGCTGTATGCCATGGGTAGCCAAAGTGGTGCCCTGCAGATGTTTTGGACTACAACTCACATCCCTTATCATTGGATTTGCTGCTGGGAGCTGTAGTCCAAAACATTTGCAGGGTACCATGTTGGCTAGCTCTGTTGTAAGCCATACAGTGTAGCATATCACCTGGCACCAGAATTCCTCACTGAGGGAGAAGAGGACTGAAAGTGAATAAAAGAGTCATGCCATACTTTCATTTAGATCATACAGGACTTTCTTATGGTATCAGTGATGCAGACGTTTGTTTAGTTTGTTCCAGTTTAGCAATCTTTCCTTCAGTTTATTTGCACAAACTTGAGGCTGTTAGCTTGGATGCCAGAATAACTTGGGGTTGCCAACACACAAGGGAGGGAAAGGGAGCCTTCTCTGCCCGGGCTCCAATGTGCACTTCTTATTTATTCATTTATTTCATTTATGACTCGCTTCCCAAGAAATATCCTAACATCAAAAACATAAACAATTTCAAATTTAATACAAATTGGGATAAAAATCCCCACTTAAAAGTCTTGTTGAAAAAGGAAGATCTGAAAAGACAGTAGTAAGACTGCTCCTTTCTGACATGTAACGGGAGGGAGCTCCAAAGGGTAGGTGCTGCCATACTAAATTCTTGATTTCTACCTTGTATAGAACAGACCCTGTGATGAGATGGTCATGGTTTGAGTCAACCAGTTTAGGACCCAGGGTGTGAGCTTCCAGGCAAACCATTGCTTGTTGCTGTGTTTCCTTTCATTTCCAGTACACTAAGCACTTCACAAGTTGATTCCTGTCTCTGGAAGCAGTGGTGTGATTGTGTAACTATGGTTTGTCAGTTCAGATATCATGCCCATCATTCATTAATTATGTGTGATGCCAGAATTGAACCCTGTGTTGAACTTTGAAAATAAGTTTCTCCTGTAAGAGAGAGTTTTGCTTCTTGTATGGCTAATACAGTATACACAAACTGACTAGAGAAGCCTTTCTCAAACTTGAGTCCCCAGATGTTCGACTACAACTCTCATGAGTCCTAGCCAGCATGGCCAGTGGTCAGGTATGATGGGAGTTGTAGTTCAAGAACATCTGGGAACCCAAGGTTGAGAAAGGCTAGACTATAGTATTGTGTTTCAGGTCAGTTATCATAAGGGGAAAAGAAGGATGAGACTGATTGCTTCATTCTCTTTCCTAGGTGATTCTTGGTCCATAAGCAAATCACATCCTGGGTAGGATATTTTATTAGGGATGTGATGATGTAATCAAATCTCAAGAAGGTATTTTAAGGAGTGCAGAATCCTAGGCAAACATTATAGCTAAGGTGTTCCTCATAGAGGAGAACATGCTTCTAGCTGATTTGAACACTTTAAAGTATGTGGATGTGACTTTACACCCAGGAGCACAGCATATAATTCTCACTGTTCTGTAAAGTGCTTGTCTGTGCATTGTGACATCATCTGATTTAAAATGGGGGGAGAGAAGCTGTTATTCCAAATTCCATTTTCAGAGTCTGGGAATAATAGCCTCAACTGGTATTTGCACGTGTATTTTCCTGCTTGTACAAGCCAGGCAAGTAGGCTTTGTTTGTCATATCATGTTTTTAAAGACTTGAGATCTCAGGAATCTCCAGTTAGAGTGGGGAACAATTCTGTGTGGAACCCTGGAGAGAGACTGTTACTCTGAGTAGACAGTATTGAATTTGGTGGACTAGTAGTCTGACTTGGTTTAAGGGAAGTGGTTCCTGCCTTCTGTTACCTGCCCTATGCCTGGCAAGTGGAAGCTACAGTGTTGACCAGGAGATCATGTCTAATTACCTGGGAGGGGAATGAAAATGCTATAAAAATGTAATGGGTTAAAGTATATTTTCTTTAATCCCAATTCAGTCCTTCACTCTCATTTTTCTTGCATTCAGAATGGTTGTTTGTTTAAAATAATCAAGCAAATTGGGAGGCATGCTAACAATTTAAACATTAGCCAAAACATTACATCCAGAAACAAAAAAAATTAGTTATATCATAGTCCTATCTGAACTGGGAAGCATGAGCCCTGTCTGAAAAGGCCCTGTTGATTTACCTGCAGCCTAAGGCCTCTGTTGCTGCCAGCTGTCTGCATACCATTCCCTTTTCGCAAGCTTACTCTTGGGGGTAAGGATAGCAACAGAGAGGGCTTGTGGCTTTGAAGACCTCAGACGTGATGCTGAGGGAATGCTTATTACTGCCAGGAAGCATTGGAAATGCAATTTCTATTATTTTGTAATGTAGGGAACGCTCTACATTTGACACTGGAAGCATCAGGAACTAAATTCCCCATGTTTCCTTGTGTCAGACTGGAAGGTGTCCCTGCTGTCAGCATCCCCTTCTCATCTCCATGCAAGAGTAAGTGTGAGGAAGGGGCTGGAGGGGCTGCTTTGATGGCACTGAATCTAAACCCCTAGGTCTTTGGCAGGGACTTGGAGTGGGGGGAAATTCTTGCACTTTCCATTCCAAAGTTTCCCATTGCAACTGTGCAAGATCTCTAACTGGCTGAAGGCAAATGCCGTGGTTATCTTAAAAAAGGGAGGGTCCATGGAATTGTGTGCTTCCTAGAGATAATGAATAAGCTTGGCAAGTAGAACAGAAAAGCAATTTAAGCTTATAAACAAGCTGAGCAGTTCCTAGCAGTCTACAGTTTTGAAGAGCATTTTTATAAAGAGCAAACGGTGTCACCTTAGTTCAGCTTCCTCTGTTGGTATGGTAAATTGTTTGACTGAGGGTAACACACTAGATTGAAAGCATTCATACATCTATTTGATGACATTCATGAATTATAAATTGGAGAAATATATTTTAGAGCATTAGGTTGGGCTGTTGGAGCTAATAATTCATTGTTGGTGTACAACAAGATTTGGCTGGGATCTGCTTAGTCAATTCTAGTCACTTTTATTAGTCACCTAGATGAAGGGTGTGACATAGGCCTGGCTCTCACTGTGGTGGTAAGCTTGTCTCTGGATGTGGCACTTCAGACAGGTGCGGCTCACGTAATGAAATGCTGCTCCACGTATATATAGTAGATAATATCCTTGCACATTGAAAACTAGGGAGACTGGTTCTAGCCTTAGCCTTCTCTCCCATTTCCTAGTTTTCTGTGCAGAGTGGGTATTTTGTATGGAGAAGCATTCCATCACGTGAGCCCATACCTGTGGTCTAAAACAGAACAGCTCACGTTCAGGTCAACCACCTCAGTAGAAACAAGACCTAAGAAGGACTGATTTAGAATTCAAAGTTTATATTGGCCAGTTAAAGCACTTGCTTGGAAACCAAAGACAAATGCCAAGTTGTTACTGACCTCAAAATAGAGGAATTTATAAACTGGTGGATAATTGGTGGATGGGGTGGGGGGGAGAGAGAGAGAGAGACGGGGACGAATCCACAACGCGACAGTGACAACAGAAAATGCAAATTCAGTTTTGAGGTGCAATAACAAATATGGCATACAGATTAAATTGTGTACCTTCCATGGATTAAGCAGTATTCTGTCAGAAGGATATACAACTAAGTAGAATAGTTGCGAACGCACAACACAGAGTTTCCTAAAGCTAGTTACCATATTTTTTTAGAGATAGGGTGTTCCAAATGCTTAATAAATGGCTGTTATAATGTATATCTGCTTGCTTGTGAGTATAGATTACCCTTAGGCAAGCAAGCAGTTATTGGGAATGAATTTCCCTTCTCCTCCCCTTGCTCCCAGCTAATGTGCCGCAAACAACTTACTTTGTAATGCCTTAACAGGTGAACAGTAAAAATTATGGTGGGCTAGTAATTTTGGGAGTCTTATTTGCAAAGCTTTTATACTTGGAACCCCTTCTTCCTTTGGCACTAGGACTGTCACTAGTCCCATAATGAAATTTCTAATATGCAAATATCTTGTCTGATTTGTGGGAAGGGAATACTGTACCTATTTCTTGTTTCTGTGCCTGTCTTTGATTTGTAACCCCTTACCAGCTACATTTCATGCTGGAAGTGGAGTACTCTTTTAGTTCATCATATTTAAAAAAAAATGGTCTTCCTTGTTTGCTCTAAACATAAACGTCGTATGAAGTTATGAACTTTCTCTGGTATAGTCTATTGGTTCAAGTAATATATGTTGTAACTTAATTTTCTTAATTAAACTTAATTTTAACTTAAGTAACTTAATTTTCTGTTATGTTCCTGATAAATTAATAGATAAAAGGAACCAATTACCTTGACTTAAAAAAGAACATTGAGGATGCTGAAGGGATCTAGAAGACATATGAAGAAAGGCTGAAGGAACTGTGAGTTTAGCTCATAAAGGATTTTTCTACCTTTGTGGGGACTTGTTTGCGAGGCTGTTATAATGTTGACTGTTGTCAAATACATATCCAAAAACTACAGAAAAAGCTGTTTACATTTTGCTCTGAAGATCGACTAAGAAGCAGTGGGTTTAAACTACAGGAAGCTAGACTGAAAATGGAGGAGGGAGTTTTACAGCAGCAACAGCAAGATGATAATTCATTACTTAAGAGAATGTGGAATTTACAATCATTTAGTAGGTTTAGACAAGATGGTATTGTGTCCCTGTCAGTTATGATTCTACAGATTTACTTTAGTTTTTTAAAAAAATTAAACAAATGTACTCTGCTGGAGAACAAATTGGCTGCCTCTAGATATTTACTGTATTTCTGTTTAAATAGGAAGGTTTATGTTGCTGACAGCCAGCCTTTTAAGCAAGCGTGCTACAGGTCAAGTCAAAGTATCATGAGTACAGCATTCCAGTTTTCATGTAAAACCAAGCCAAGGATGAAAACTACAGAACCAGCTTCTTGGATCTTGCTTGGTCACTACGCTCTCACCCGCTGGAGCAAATGAAAAACCTTGCTTTCATTTGGTACAGTTGGCGTTTACTATAGCTGTGTTATAGGCTGCTAGTAGCTCTAACTTATTATGGCTGCATTCTCCCCCCCCCCCCGCCCCCGATATACAGTCTTACTTGTCAAAAGTAGTCTTTGGTCAACTACATGCATTTTGTCTTAAGTTACTGGTCTCTTTCTACTTGTTGATGTTGACATGAGCCTAAGCAGAAAAGAAAAGTGTGGTTCTTCCAAGGGCACTAATAACTGCAAGAGAATTCCCTTGTACGTACCGTACTCAATTTTAAGAAGTGCTTTCATTGGTGAGAAATGAGAATTTCAGAACTTGTGTGTTTACTGCAGAAATTCCGGAACTTTTTAAAGTCAGCAGAGTCGGAGTTATATTCTGCAGCCTTCTGGAGAACACCTAAGTTGGGAGGGAACCAAAGGATGAAGTATAAAGTATTTTTGGAACAAATGTGAAATTTACCCAGAGCACATTTAAACTCCATAATGAATTCACTGTTACAGTTCTGTAAGGTATACTTGTTCAAAATGGAAAATTGAGTGTTTTTAGTATTTTATTGTCCTGCATATTTCTATTGTATTATTTGTGCAACTGCTTCCAGGTTGCATAAGTAAGACTGATAGGTACAGGTTTGTTTATATTAAATCTGTGAATTGTGAAGTCAGTTTTGATTCATATCAGTTTAATGCCACCACAGTAATATAAAATTTTGTCCACTCACTAAATAAATTGTTTACAATTTGTAATACAGTTCTGTTTGCTCAGAATGTCTGGGGCTGTTACCTAGTTGAACCCATTCTTATTAAGTCCTTAACTTGAGCGTGATAAGGGCCAGCCCTTCGGCAATTCTGTTCCTGGAACCGGCACCCACCCAGCCATCATGTGTGGAATCACTGGTTTTCATTCTCATGCTTGCAAAAGGATCTCACAATCTTGATCATCTATACCAGCTCCCTTAACTCAAGGTTTTAAAACCCCTTGTCCCAGCTTGGGTTGGGGGGAACGTAAACTCCCTGAAAAATTGATATGTTAGTATTTAGGACTTCAAAATATTGATTCACCATTTCAAAGAGCTAGTACTGAAAAAGCTGGTATGGTTTCTAGGAATTTGAAATATCTTTCTCTTCCTTCATCATGTTCACTCTTGCCCTTAGCATTGCTGTTGCATTATTTTTTGAAGAATGGTATGCTGGTTTACAGTCTTTTAAAAAAGTGATTCATGAGGAAAAGGGGGAAAGCTTAGGAGAGATAGGTACATCCTTGATTTCTTCAGTGGACTGGGGGTTTATTAATATAAGAAATGAAAGGCAGAGTGTCCAGATTGATGGCCATGTCCCCTCACAACACAGGAAGTCTCATAAAAGACACAAGAAGCAGCAGCAGATCATCTTAATCTATAGGGAGAAATTCCTCTAAGTCAGTGTTTCCCAACCTTTTTTGGGCAAAGGCACACTTGTTTCATGAAAAAAATCTCGAGGCACACCACCATTACAGCCCCGTGACGTCAGCGCGCAGCGTCACGCCGGGAGGGACGCACGAAAGTGTAAGTTTCAATTTTTTCCCCTCCCCCTTGCCTTCCTTCTGTGCCAACCGCCAAAAAGCCAAGAAAAAAGCCAAGACTTTAGGGCAGCAGGTCGACACGGAAGAAGCTCCTACCTAAGGACAGGTGCGACGGCCGTGTCCTCTTCTGCCACACTTGGCAGCCCTGCCTCACGGTCGTGACTCCCACCCTGATTTCTCCCCGCAGGTCGAGCGGCACAGGCAGCCCAATGTGTCCAGCCCAGACACAAGCCCCGCTTCCCCACTCTAGATCCTGAATGCGACCAAGTGCTCTGGACTCCCGAGCAGGGTGGGAAAGAGGACTCGCATCTGGTAGCCTCCGGGCTCCTCGCCTGCTCGAGGGATGGCATTGCAGGCAAGCTGCCGGCCGTCGCCATCGCCGCCCCCTCATGCGAGTGGACCTGCCCGGAGTGGTGGGCCGGGGGAGGCTCGCTCTCTGTGGGGATGTGGCCCGCACGCGCGGCCCCGCTTCCTCCTGCCCAGGGCTGAGCTCCTTACCCGCGACCTCGGTCTCGCGCACGCGGATCCCACTTATTCTGAAGCTCGCGCCACTAGCCGGGGCTCTCACACCGTGCCAAGGCGAGGCGGCGCGGCCCACTGACGTCATCGCGGCTCGCCGCCGCCCTCGACTTCCCTGTTCCCTCCCCTCCCTCGGGTCGCCGTGGTTACCGAGGACTGCAAGTTGCTCGGGCGAGCGTGGGGCATTAAGTGGGAGAAGGAAAATTAAAATTAAAACTCGCCTGAAGGCCGCCTCTCCGGATATCTTTCGAATTTTTTAATTTTCCCCGCGGCACACCAGGCAACGTCTCGCGGCACACTAGTGTGCCGCGGAACACCGGTTGGGAAACACTGCTCTAAGTCTCAGTCCCCAGCACTGCAGCTCTCTGCAGGCAGTGCTTGAAGAAGAGTGTTACTATACTTAGGAAACATGTCTCTTAACATGTCTGTAGACTACTACTCCATGTTCAGAGAACAATCTCTTCCATGAATGGTAGGGGAGTGGGGGGTAATCTTAACATGTGATAATATAACCATTTCTTACAGCAGCTCTGCTGGTATTCTGCCAGAAGCTGCTGTTTGTCCTGTGGGGCTGGCTCAGAAGCTAACACTAGAACACAGGAGAGCAAAGTATACGTAACTTGGATCATTTAGTTAGGATAGTTGCGTTTTCAAGGGATCAGTGGAGACAAGATGAGTTTTTCCAGAAACAAAATTTTATTGAGAAACTCTACAGCAGGGATGTCCAACTTCCAAGATACTGTGATCTACTCCCACTATAAAAAAACTGGAAGTGATCTACCCATTGGATTGACCAAGTTGTTGAGCTTTTTTGGGAGAGGATGAACCAAAGTTTTTGAGCTCCCCCCCCCCGGGTGATTGATTGCTCAGGATCACGGGATCAACCAGGGGCGCCCTGCGATAGACCAGTAGATCGGGATCAATGTTTTGGACACCCCTGTTCTGCAGTTTACTATTTAACAGTTAAGACTGATGAGACAAGCAGGATGAGTGAGGGCTGATGTTGCAGTGAGATTGTGTGATGAATTGCTTCAGGTACTGAGGAAAAAGGAAGAGGAAGTTGCAGTGAGAATTCAAAAGCTGGCAGGAGGAGTAGAGAATGGGGGGGGGGGAGAGCTTGCAATAATACTCTGGAAAACGGGAAGGAGGAACCGGGGTTCAGATGTGCCAGAATGGGCATCAAGCTGAGAGCTCCAATGTCTTCATAAAGCAGCATGCTTGTCAGCAGAACTAAATAAAAATGTACTTCAAGGACTGTGGAAAGACACTCAGGAAAGGGCATTCTAGAGACTCACTGAGTTCAGGGTTTGTGAAGCCATTTAGCCTCTGTAAAGACTCACAAAAGGAACAGCTGATCATGGACTGATTTCCAGATTGCTTGATGGAAAAAGTGAAGGATCTGAATCTACAGTGTTGTGTACTGCACTTCTTAGAAAGCCACTTCCCCTCTTCTCGCCAATTCGTCTTATCTCACACAAACATGAACATCTTGCTGCTGATAAGTAAAGAGTTGATCGCATCCAGAAAAAAGTGATGTGTGTATATGTGGCCCTCATCCCATCTCATATGATAGATCAGTGCCTTATAGTTTCGCTCGTCTATAGAGGGTATTCCTCCTGACTTGCAATTATTCCAGTTCATGAAGGTGCTGGTCTTCCATACCTCACTGAGCAGTAATTTATGGAGCGGAGACATTCCTCACTGGTGACCTCTTGAGCAAGCATCTGAAAAGTTACTTTGCTAGAAATTTATGCATGGGGTCTTCGAAAATAGTTCATATTGCTGGCAATGCGGCGCCCTTACACTGTTAGGTGCCGCAATCCTAGCCTTGGGCAGCTACTATTCGCATGATGTGAATTTCAGAGAGTGGCTAGATAACAGAGTTACCTAATTACAAAACTGCCGGTTTAAAACTGTTATCTGTCACATCAAAAGAAATAATGATATGCTTTTGTTGAATACAATTATTGAGCTATAACTGCGGACCAAATTTTGTTTCCCAAGAGTCCATGGCAACATTTTTCATTGCATCTATGTTACCAGATGCATGAAATCTAGTTGAATTGTTGCCAATCAAGAGACTGTTAAATAGGAAGAGGAAGGCTGTAGTTTTGGATTTTCAATTTATGGTGGAATCAATACATAGTGCATGCAAGTTTGTAAGGAAATAGCACATTTGGTGGGAATTCTTCTATCTTCACTGTTGTTAATACTCCTGGTAACAGGAATTTGCTGTGAACAGGGGCATTATATTCTGGTTGGGTGCTCATAATCAAATTATGCTCTTTGTCTGTATGCAGTGAACCTTTCTTCTTTATTAGACAAACTCCCACAGAAA